CTAAAATAGTGTTCCCTCACTCTCTGTCCTGCCACAACTCACCTTGCCTGTGTAGAGTTTGTCTCAGAAGAGCTCCAGGAAACAGTAAAAATTGAGAGAGTGAAAGGAGAAATTGACACAGAGAATGTCAACCACAATTTCAGAAACTGGAGCTTAAAATCCCTCTCAGCTCAACCTTAAATATGTGGGGTGGGGCGTGAAAAGGACTGGATTGTCCACTGGGTCTAGTAACCACCATATAATGTTCTTGCTTTCTTAATTCCCTTTCGCTTTTTGAAGTGCTGCTCACACACACCCTAAAAGGGGATCACACTAAATAGGAGACTGTCTACATCAAAAACAACCAGTTGTTGGGAAACAGGATGCTGGTGGTTTTCCCCAAAACCCATGGGGATCATAGCCTCAGGTTCACAGACCATCTGTCCAGGGTGGAGGGAACCACCATTAGAAAGCTGGTTCTTTTCACCCCGGTCACTTGCTTCAAGCACCCTTGCTGCCACCAGGGACACTGGTTCTGCCCTCAAATCCTTGTCTCTCCATTCCTCCTGAGAAAGAGAAGACTTCTGGAAAAAAACACCCCAGGAAGACAGGCTCTGGCCAAAGAGGGAGCTGGTGGTGTGGGGAAGGCATCCACAGTGGAGGACAGAGGATCTCTGGAGTGGGGATGGGGAGTTCTTCTTCCTAGAGGAGCCCCCTCCCTTTCTGGACAGGAGCTGAGCTCTTCAACCCAAGTATGTGGTCTACACTCATTCAAGCAATTGTTTGGATAAATTGGAAAATTTTCTCACCTGAAATAATGCAATAATGGGACCAAGAAGTTAAAAGTCCTTTGATCAGAAATCAAATAAGAAATTGCCCCCCCCCAAAAGAAAGAAAGCCCCTCAGACCTCTCCTGGGAAAGGGGTCTTTTGACTAAGAAATAGATAATGTTATAATCTAATTTGGGGGGGCTCCACTTTCTTACTTTTTAATAACAGAAGAAGAAGAGAATAGTGGCAGGGAGCCTTGGGGAGGTTCCTCTGATGGAGAGGGGAAGCCATTGGCACTGTTCGTGCCTAGTTTAGAGGCGGGGAGAGGAAGATTGCCAAGGAAAGGATGTTCCAAATACTGGAGATTCCAACTCCCAATCCTGGGCCCCTGAGGCATGGCCAGCGTCTTGGGCTTGGACGGTTTCTCCCTACTCCTCAGACTGTAGTTCCACCCCCCAGGGATGGTAAAAGGGGTTCCTAGTGGCTGTGACAGTGCTGAAGGGACCCATAGAGCCCAGCTGCCTGGAGAGACAAGACCCCTCCTGGCCCAGGGGACTCCAGGGAGACCAAAGCAGCTGGGCCCTGCCAGAAGGAGGAAGTGGTCCTCCTCCTGTGGATAGTCTGCCCTCTCCGCTTCCCGATCAGGGTGTTCGGTGGTGCTGGGGAAGCCACAGCCATCACTGTCAACCAGCAGGGGCCCAGACACAGCCCCAGAACTGCCCCACTGGGCCTTCTTCAGCCTGCAGAGACTTAAGGTCATTGATGATTCTCTGTCGCCTCCTGAGAGCCTCCAAGTGATGAGTGACCGCCCTTACCCGGGCTGGGATGCCCCCCCCCCCCATCCCTGCTGCATTCCTCCTGAATGCAGCCTCCTCCTCTTTCTTCTGCAGAGCACCTCAGGAGGTGGGAGAGCCTCAGGGCCATACTGGCCAGGCTGGGAGCAACCAGTGGCTCTCAGCAGGGGTGGGGTGTACTGTTCCTCCCTCCAGGTGGGGCTGGGCCTTTGACTAAGACTCTCCCAGAAGGTGCCTCCATAGTGCTGGGGTGTCAGTCTGAGGCTTTGGCAAAGGAGATAAGGCTGTCTGCATCTTCCTGTACTTGCATGACTGGACTGGGTTGAGAGGTTGGATTGAGTCTCCTCATTGGTGCGAGGCGTGAGGAGCTGCTAAACCCGAAGGCACAGTTTGGGGGCTGAGGAGTTGATGTGGCTTCCAGGTGGTGGGCCCTGCGGGGCTGAGGCCTGCTGGGGCCAGGCTGAGCAGGCAGGGGTGGCCTGGGCCTGAGGGGGCAACACGGCACTGCGGGCCCAGTCAAACTTTTCCCGGCTTTTCTGGCGCTGGCCTCCCGAGTCCCGGCGTCCGGGTCGCCCTTCCGCGTCCGCAACTCGGTTCCCCTGTCTCCGCCTGGTGGGTCCCTCAGTCCCGGGGACGTTGCCACTTTAACAGCTGTCCGGGTCGCTCCCGGGCTATTCTCGCGGCGGCGCGCGCCCGTCCTCCCATCCGCGCGCCCGCGCGCCCACAGGTCCCCCCGCCCCTCGCTCCCGCTCCAGCTCGCGCAGCCCGGGCGGGCGCCGGCCGCTGGCGCCGCTACTGCTGCCACCCCAGGGGTGCGAGTCCGCCGCCCGCCGCCCGCCGCCCGGGGACCCGACGAGGGGCGGGGGCAGCCCCGGTCACGGATCGCCCCCGCTCCGGTCTCACGCTTCCCGGAAAGTTTGTCCCGTTGCACTCTGCCCAGCCGCTCCAGGAGCCCCGCCGCGACCTAATCTAATTTTAAAAAGCCTTTAAAATTCGATCTACCCAATCCAAACCTCAATTTCAAAAATTCTGAGGGGATAAAACTTTATAACCAAATCTTGGGGAAAGTATACCTTATTTTCAAATCTGAAACACTACTCTGAGGCATTTGACTGGCTTGAAATTCCCCCAATTTCAAGTTAAGTCAGTTTCGGCACACAGGAAGTGCTCAGTAAGTGTTGGCAGCCACATCCTCTCCTCCTTGTATATATCCGGCTCCTGATGCTGAAACTCTGCAGGGCCCGAATTCTCTCTGGATCTTTTCTCTAACGTTCGGCCTCATGTTTTGGGGGCCCGATTTCTTTTTACAGCGTCCAGGTAGGATCAAGGCGCAAACCATTCTGCCTTCCAAAGAATTTCTGAAAGTGGTGGGAATGAGCGGAATGAGGATTACTTCCCAGAAAAGCGCTGCAAAGTCTGCTTTTGAGCCCGCGGAATATCCAGGGCTTTAGAAAGAGGCTGTGTCTGCGACCTGAGACAGGGGAACCCGCCTGGAGTTTTGCGAGGCAGGATGCGGGGCGGTTGGCTCATTGCGAGGATCCCGCCGCTGATGGGGGCCTCTGGAGAGAGCGGTACGCGCGGCCTGTGCGGCTCCTCCGTTCCCTAATACGTCCTAGTCCTCGCTGGCCTCCCTCGTCCCCCAGCTTCAGCCCCACCGCCTCTCTCCAGCCCACGTCAGTCCCTGCTGGTCCAGGTGTCCTCTGGGGATAAGTAAGTGCGTGGAGATCACTAGGTCCCTAGAGGGAGCGGCTTTCTCTCATTGTCCAGAGAACCGAGGCCGAGTCGACAGACCGTCTTCCCCCGTCCAGAACCGAAGGGCCGAATCTCCAAAGGCCCATCTGCCAGGTGTTTGGAGCAGCCGTATCTTAGACTCTACCTCAATTTTCTTGTGTTTTGTAAGTTCTTAAGTGAGAGTGTGCTGACCTGTGGAGGGGTTTGCCTCGGGCTGAGGCTTCGGGGGAAGGAAACAGTGAGTCTGGCCTGTTTCAGCTCTGCCGCAGCAGCGCTGTAGCGGTTTCAGTGAGTCCAACGCGGGACTTTCTGTGTCTTCTAATCTTAAGGAGAGTCGAAGAAGAAAAGGAGATGATTAAGAAAAGCCAAGTCTATCCAATAAAAATGCAGCTCTGCAAGAGAAAATAAAAATGGGCAATAGTCTGAAATCTACACTCCATTTCTTCCAGAAAAGGAAAAAATGGTCGAGAAACCTCTAATACATATAAACTTCAAATCCTCAGTCACAAGTATAATTCTATTGACAAAAAAAATCCATGACCTCACGTTTTAATAAAATATAAAAAACAAATTAGTTAGAAATTAGATTAACAAAAGACAATAGAAAAATAGGACAAGAAAAGACAGTTTTCTGAGAAAGGACATACAAATTGCTTTAACACTGTGAGATTAGGTTCAGCTTCCATGAATATGAAAAATGCACAAAACCTTTGATACAACCCGTTTAAGACCATACCATACACATATACTTGCATAAATACACAGAGTAGTGTATTTTGGTAAGATAGGGGGAAAAGGAAGAGAAAGTTGGAAACATTTTATCAATAGTCACCTGGTTGAATAAATTGTGGCACATTCGTACAATAAAATGGAACCATTAAAAAGACATTAGTAAAGACACAAAACCATCATTAACACTTTTCTAAAAAAAGACAAAATGCAAAGCTATATACATATGGTGTGCTGCCACTTTTGTTAAAGGTGCTTGTAAGGATACCAAGGACTCTGGGAACAGTGCTTCTGGTCAGAGGTGATCAAAGAACTACTTTTCTGGTATTTATTATTATTATAAATCTGGTATTTATTATTTTAATAGTGTACATTATAAATTTTATAGAGGATAAATTTTATCATGAAAAATTGAAAACAGAAAATTAAAAATGAATTACATTTCTGCTTATAAGATCTGATTAATGCAATCTTTGTAACAACCAAAATGTAGACTCCACTCAGACACTTAGAACTCCTAAAAACCAGACCGTTAACTTACTCGTTGTAAAAAATATAAGCAAAGGTTTTTTGGTTTTGTTTTCCGTAGCAAGTTTGCAGAAAACGATACTAAAGCAGGCACTTAGCTGGTAGTCTGAGTAAAAAGATTTATTTGGGCATGGGGGGAGTAGGAACTAACTTTTAGCCCCCAGACTAGGTCTATACCTCTGAGATCTCCGACAGAAGAGTGAAAAGGAGACATTATTTGCACCATTCAGAGCAAAAATCAAACCAAACTCTACTCTTCAATTTCAAGTTGAAACATAATGTACTGTTGCGGAACTTTCCGCCTTCTCCGGGTTGTCTTGGCTCTGTTTTAGATCTTCGAACCTTATCGTCCTGGGACCCCCCCCCCCGCGCCCCCACCCCGGGCCGCTCTAGGAGATGTTGTTTCGGCGGCCATTCGGCTGAGAGTCCGCGGGCGAGGCGAGCTGGGGCTGCCCGGGTGAATCTGGGGATGCAGACCGGGCAGAGCCAGGGGCACCCTCCTCTGATGCGAGTAAATGCTCCGGGAGGGAAATGCCTTGCTCGGTCCCGCTCGCGGCCTCCCCAGCCGACCCAGGCAGACGTGAGGGCCCGGACCCAGGAGCTCCTGGTTTCCCAACCAACTTTGACCGCCCGCTTCGGGCAATCTCCCTATGTTGGACCGGCTCCCGCGCCTCGTTCAAAAGAAGGCTGGCCCTTCGGGCAGGTTATCCGAGGGTAAGCCAGCGGGCGAGGTTCTCCCGATCCTTGCACTGATCTGAGGGCCGGGAGTGGGGTGGGGGACGTGGGGCAAGAGCCGGGCGGCTTCTGGGGCGCCTATGGGTCCGTGTCCTTGAAGCGACCAGCGACTGACTCCAGTCCGTGCAGGAGAAACATGCGTCTGGGGCCCAAATCCCCCTTCCCTAGACCAGCGCCTCGGCTCTCTTCCTGACCTTCCTTGCTAAAACATATGGACACTGAGGCCCAGAAAGATTAAAAGACATCTGCTGGAGCTGGGTCAAGGAGAAGATACTGGGGACGGCTTCTTGGTCAGCAGGATCCTTGGCAAACCCAGAGAATGAATTGTGTGAGGGGGAACGGACCAGTAAGGGAGGTAGACGTGGGAGGTGGGGACAATCTAGGTCAGGAGAGGGGTTGCTGAAGGAGGATGAGATCCCACCCTCCTGGAGACCCCACAGGGATTTGGACTTAAGAGACAGCAAGCCAATTCCACCACCACCCCCACCCCCCCACCCCCAGCCAAGTCTCCTCAAAGAGCAGCTGTGCAGAGGCTGAAATGGTCCAAACATGGAAATTATAAATTGATTGGATTTAGCCCCAAGCCATTAATTTTCTCTATTTCCTCTTTTTTTTTCTCTCTTCCTGGGGATTCTGTTACCCATTTTCAGTCCTCTCTGAAGGCGCTTCTAAATGAAGGAAAGATCAGAGTCGGCCAGGCAGGGCCCTTGAAATCTTGTTCATCTGTCACATTCTCCCCCATTTGACTGGCCTGGCCAAAATGGAATGGGGGCTTGGAATCTGAATATTTGCCTAAATGCTCCAGCTTTCTCTGTGTAAATGTGGCTGTGACTCCGTCACACCAGGCAAGAGATGACCACGAATAAGACTAAAACTAAAAATAAAGTAAAAACTTACTGGCTTTGGGGGTCTTGAAAATCATTGGTGGGTCTTTAGTCCTGTTTGGTCCTGCTTCTTCTGACTTATAACCTGATCAAAGAAATAAATATAATTGGAACTGATACAACTTCAGGACCACTCGAGGTTGTTTTGTTTATACACAACCAAAGCATGTCCTTTCCAATACTGAACCGGGAGAGGTGACAGATTTCCCCCCTGGGGAGTGGGGAGTCTGCTCTTAGATTAGAGCGGAAGTGGCCTGATCACCTCCCTTCAGGAGTTAACAGCTCAGGGAAAGTGAAAAATCCAGCCAATCAATGATTGTTTGGTTGGAGAAAAGCCAAACAATGGCTCTGGCTGATTTCTTCCAGCATTGTCTGAGCTGGCTGGTCATTAGAAGGCCAACCTAGCCGGTGCTGAACTGGGAGATCAGTATCTGTGTCAGTACAGGTTCTGGAAGGTCCCAGCCCCCGCTGCTCTCCTATCCAACTCTCTAGGATGTCTCCTCTGCTTTGATGCACTGAAATGTCCTAATTTCGCTCCAGTTTCTATCCCTATTCTTTTCTCTATATGTGCTCGCATCTGGCCCTCTGTCCGTCTCTCTGTCATAGACTACATTCATTTCTCTAGGGGGCTTTTGCTTTAGAGCTTGTGGGTACCGTCTAGGATGCTTCATGGACTGGACACCTTGTCTTCATGGGGAGGGTGACTCACCTACCTATGTTTATTATAATCCCACATACTTCAACATGATATCAAAATTTTTTTCCTCCTGAAACTGACAATTTGACTAAGGCAGAGAGGGAAGACAATTTTGATTCAGTTTGGAGTCTCCTTCTCTTGGTCATGTGTGGAAAAAAATTACAGGCCAAGATCCCAGCCGAAACAGATTTTCCTCACTGTTGGAAAGGGCCCCACTTAAGGGGTCAGCCAGGACAGCTTTCTGGGGTCCAGAGAGAACTGAGCGGTGTTTGAAGCCCACCTTCCCTTTTCCTAAAAAAATAAATTCTGGCATCCAAATCAAGGAGGAAAATTAAAGGAGGCAAAAAGGAAAAGAAAACCAGAAAGAAAACAAACTGGAGGAGGCCTATCTTGACTCAGATCTGGCTCATCCAGGTCCCCTGGCAGAGCCTCCACACCCAACTCAGGGGCCAGACCAAGACGAAGAGAAAACACTTCATCCTGCTCTTCTTTTAAAAGTCTCCCCACCAGGGCAGGAATCCAGACACAATGCCAGAATTTCCCACCTCTTCTTTGTGGGTGGGGATGCTTAAAGTCACCTTGGACTCCTGCCCCTCTTCCCTTCTCCCCGCCTCCCACTAGTACTGCCTTGATCTGGGGAAAGTGTTAAAGTGTTAGTCTCTCAGGCCTGTCCCACTCTTTTCGACCCCATGGACTGAAGCCCTCCAGGCTCCTCTGTCCATGGCATTTTCCAGGCAAGTATACTGGAGTGGAGGCGCCGTTCCCTCCTCTGGGGGCTCTTCCTGACCTATGGATCTAACCCTGGGTCTCCTGCTTTGCCGGCAGATTCTTTACTGTCTGAGCCACCAAGGGGAGGAGCCTAGCCATCGGGTATCACGGCTCAAAGTAGCTAGACTGCTCCGGGACCCACTGTACCTCCAGACTCTTTTCAAATGAACACATTCAACCCAATCCCTCAAAAATATCTAAACAATGTAGACTCCCTGATGGTATAGACCCGCCCTGCAGTGCTAATGGCTCTACAGAGATCCCACACTCCTTGGAAGGAGCCTGCTTTGTAGGTGTGGGGCTTGGAGTTAAGGACTTTTAAGTTAAGCAGAAAGGAGAGTAAATCCTAGATAGCAACAATTCCATGCTTGCACAGCAGAGATCTTGTGATGTGCAGCAAACATGAATCTTAGAAGATAAACATCCAATTTCAGAGGCCCCAGCGGTGGGAAGACCTGCAGCTGCCAGGTTGGCTGAAGCAAAATTCAGCATGCATTTCTAGTCTGCAATGAGATGGCTTCCCATATCCTTTGCAGACATTGCACAACAAGTGATTAATATACATAAGTGTACATGCGTGCACGAAACACCAGATTTTCTAAGGAAAAAACCCTGTCAGATAAGCAGTTGGGAAAACAAGACTAAATCTCTTAGTACTGCTGGCTGGCTGAGGAAGCTCTCTCTAAGCCAAAGTCACACCTTTACTTCACCCCAAAACCTTCAAAGGATAAATATGAGTTTTGTGTAAATCTCTGGAGAGGATCACAAGCTGCTTGTTACTCAAAATGGATTATGTGAGATTCAGTTTATGAGGGCAAACTGTATTTCACACGAGTCACCTTGAATAACGCAATAATTAATTAAAACCACGTCCTGCAGTGGAGAATTTATTACAGTCGCCAGCTTTTTATGAGCTAGGTGTAGTTTGGAAATGAAAAATGTGAGGACTCTTCAGTATGTCTGTGCTGCATTCTGCACTGGCTCACAGTGACTCCCTCTCTCCGGGTCCCAGAGAGCAGAGTCAGGGGTGTGGGACCTCAGTTGGGAAGGGTAGAGCCCAATTATTGCAGCTGAGTTGGACTCTCTTCAGTTTTTGTAACCAGGGCCTGGGCCAGTGTTTCTTGGACTTCCTCTTGGAGATAAGTTGGGGCTTTGGGGTGGTTGAGGGATCCCTGGAAAGAGGAAAGTGGTGTGCCCAATAGAGAAGGGGCAATGGGGAGAGGGACGAGACAAAATCCTGACTTGTGCCAGGCTGCTTGGCAATTCCTGGGAAAGAGGAGTGGGCATTGTGGTACTCTTCTCCATGACAAGGAGGTCATAGCTTCTTTGACTGGGTACAACCAAGTCCAGATCTTAGTTTGAAGGAGGTGCTTTTTGTGTACCCAGCCAAAGAAGCTATGTGAGGAGGTGCTTTTCCATAGATATAGGACCAGAACAAGCTTGTAGGTTGGTTCTCTTCCCCTAGTAGAAATCCCACATTCATCTTAGGCACTACCAACTCAGAGCTGCAACTGGTTGGTTATAGGTATGTTGTAATCTTTATACAGCAACTCCACTTCCCTCATTTTTATTGTCTCCAAGCAGCCCTGTGCAGAAGGCTGGGCAGAGACAATCACTCCCACTTTACAGATGGCAAGACAGAGGGCTGGAGAGAGATGGCCAGCTCAAGGACATACAGCTAGCAACATGTGTCAGAGCAGGGGGAGAAATTCCAGCTCCCCATGTCAATAATGCCTGAAGGGCAGGAAGGAATAAGAGATGGCAAAGCTAGTCTGGCCACTGCACCTTGGAAATAGGCGACGCTCTTTAGTTCTCTTGGGAAGCATGGTGGCCTCTGGGGGCACCTCCAAGGAAGGGACTGGACAGTCCTGCCCCAGTGGCAGTAATCTTGCCTCTAGATCTGAAGCTGAGTATCAGTCTTTGACACTCTTTGAAACCTGGATGATTCAAAGACTCATCAGAGGGTCCCATTCTTGACTGCCTGGGAGGGGAAGAGAGAGAGAGGTCCAAGGGCAATAAGGGAACCAAAGGAAGGCAGAATGTGGTCTGTGGGGGAAGGGGCATTGCCTGGCCCAGCTCCACTTTCTTTGGGAGAAGATAGAGGAAACTGTGTCGTTTTCCTGTCCATGGCCGGCTCCCTGGACAGTGGAGCAAAACCTGTAAAAATAAGTTTTTTGGTCTAACATAGAACAATAATCTTTCTTGAAGATGACCAATACTTTTGGGGCTTCTCTGGTGGCTCAAAGGTAAAGAATCCACCTGCCAGTGCCTGCCAGTGCACAAGCGCCCCTGGAGAAGGAAATGGCAACTCACTCCAGTATTTTTCCCTGGGAAATTCCATGTGCAGAGGTGACTGGTGGGCTATAATCCATGGGGTCGCAGAGTCTGACAGGACTTAGTGACTAAACAACAAAATATCTCTGGGAATTGGGTTGACTCAGGTTTTTAACTAAACAAATGGTATGAAAAAAAGGAGACAAGGAAACTGCTACAAGAAACTTGAAACATGTCAACTAAATGTAATGTGTGACTTTACTTCCATTATGATTTGAGCAAACTAATTGCAAAAAGACAATTTTGAGACAACTGAGGAAACTGAAACACAGATAGTATTAAAAGATTATTGTTAA